CCACAAGTAGTTTCCGCTTAATTTCCTAACTCATTCCTTCTATTCAGGGTGTTGGCTGTTTTGTTCATTTATATCGTCTCCCTAATCTTTCGCATAATAGTATAGTCTTCATATCTAGCTAAGCGTTGGCATTATACTAATCCTGTGTGAGCCATATGTTCGGTCAATTCCGATTTTTGGGCCCTTGTAGGCTGTTTTGTTTTCGGACAAGATTAGGTAGAGATGTGTATAGGAAACCCACAAATGCAGATTTCTTTTTGAATTTCTTCTCCATCCACACTTATGGGGTTAAGGTAGGAGTTATGAAGTCTATGATAAAAAGGAGCCTGTGTCTGGCAAATGTTAAATATCGGGAACAGGAACTGAGGTAACTAAGGAGAATTCTGGTTTATAATAATTATCGACGTGGGATGGTTGACAAGTATTTTAAAATATTGTCAAATAGGATGACTATAGAAATTATCATGCATACTATGGACTCCGAACAAGTTGCGTTTTGCTAGGTCTTCCTGCCAATATGACCAAGTTGCGATATCATGGTCAAACAACGACTAAATTGTTTTAGAGTTTGTTTCGATTTTTGTTTACTTTATCGATCACATTCATGTTTCATAGCCAAAAAACTATGTTAAGTTTCTTAGATCCTCAGTAATTAGCTTTGATGCAATTTTAGTTATTGTTAAGCATTGGTATTAAGCTGGCATGTTCTTACTTATCTCTTTGCTGGCAATTTGCATTCATGCATGTATGTCATTTTTTGGTATTATTCCATTTGTTTTATTGTAATCAAGACATTTAATATTAATTGCCTGGTCCGACTTGCGCTTGTCCCTTCTTAGATTTAATTACTTCTTTTCAAAATTTATTATTTTTATTTCTCCTATTTTCTGCAATCTTTTGTTGTAATTGCAGGTCCGATTTTGGTCAATTCCATTCAGCCTTGACGCCAAATCCTCAACCCCTCTCCAATTTGACTCAAAATCTAACTCTATCCAATCCTTTCGATGACTTAAATGGATCGCAGGTTGGCACCATTCTTTCTTGCTTAAGCTCTTATCTTTCCAACGTTGTTACTATGCAATTATTCACTCTATTTAAAATTAATTCAAGCTTAGAAGTTGTTTGATCTTGTTTTCGCAACTTGGTAATATTAGTACGAAGACTAAGAGGAATGCACCTAGTCCGGAGTCCATTGTATGTATCATTATTTCCAGAGTAGGACCATGGACGTGGTACATTCCCAAGTTTGTTTAATTCTTTTATCACGCTCAGCATTTAGTTTTTTAAAGATCAGTATTTGAAATTATCCTGAGGTCAGCAAGGATATATTATATAAGAGTCTACGTTTTTAATTGTTATTTCATACAACTAGGACAAAGTGTCTACAAAATACTACAACTAACTAGCTTAATTAATAGGCTAGTTGGGATTGTATTCTACAGCTAATCGACACCGAAAATGGATTAACTTGAAGACGCGCACGTTTTTGTATGTTTGTTCTGAGTTTTGCAGAAGAAACATTTGGTTAAGATATTTGAAGTCTTCTCCATTATGATGAATATGGTAACCATTTGTATGCTCCATCAGGACATATACATATATTATTTAAGACTTAGTTTACACTAGATCGCAGGCCCATGGATTAAACATACATGGTTTATCTCAACTACGAGACATCAAGCATTGTAAAACTAAAGAAGAAGGAGAATGTGATTTCAGATCCTTTTATTTCACTTCTTGTTAAAATAAACAGTGTCCCTGATCTTCCGTTTTCTGGTGTTTTCCCCATATGAGGCCAGTTTTTCCGTTTTATTCCAGCAAATTGTGTGGCCGTTAATGGCTATGTGTTATAATATCTCCGATCTTTTCATATCCATTTTTCTGCACACTCGTTGGTGTTCCTTGATTCTTGTGCTGATTTTCCTTCCTGTTTCTCCTGTGCATTTTTATTTGAAGTCCTTGCAATTCTTGTAAACTCCGGAGCACTCCATTTTGTTGACTTCATCATGTTGGTTCATCGCCCAGTTATTCTCTTTTTCATTCCAACCCACTGCATCCTATTTTTGGAGGCCTGTGTCCGGATTAATTAGCAAACGCTGGTGTGAACACCTGCCGCCCTTCTTTCCACTCCTGAATAGCGCACAACACCTTCATAGGTATAGGTGTGCAAGATATAGACCCTTATTGTGTGTTTGTGTGCTTGTGAACATTTTTCGATTGTGTGACTCAATGAGCGGTGACTGATAGCATGCCCGATCAATAATGGAGAGAGACCAACCAAAGTAAATATGAACAACTGACTAGTACCCTAGGATAACATTGGATTGGCAACTTGAGAAACAAGAAGAGTGTGCTTTGCGCGATTCAAGAGTGGAATTGGGAAGTGTTAGATTTCCACATCAACGTTTTTGAATTAATCCGGACACAGGGCCTCAAAACCAACGCTTAATGAGACTGCGACCAAACGGAAGGCAGCATCATATTGATCTTCACATCTAAGATAACAAATATTTTATTTTTATTCGGATATTTTATATTACAACTGAATCTGAAATTGTTTGCATTATTATTTGGTATACTTAATAATAGATCCCGTTTAAACCGCCTTTTTTTGCCGTTAGCCTTACTCGAAAACAAGTAATACTTTACCACACCTCATGGCTCCCAGTGCTTTCTCCAGTTTCGCATGCTCTCAGCAGCCGAGCTTTATCCAAACTTGCATCGAGCCGATAGTCCCATTTAAGCCTTCTGCGCCCTCCTCCACTGCGTTGTCATCTTGCAATACCTTAAAACCAACCAGCGACTCTTTGCAAACTTCGTTGACCTTGAAACAGCCGGATATAACGCCTACTCAGCTCATTTCTATCCCACCAATATCGATTGAATCATCATCTTCTGTAAAAGAATCTGCGACAAGCGATTTTGGTAGCATTTGGCGTGAAGATGCATCTCGACTGAACATAAGTCTCGATAACCTTGGTAAAGGCTTCGCTGCTATGGAGCTCCGACCTACTCTCAATATGCTTCAACAACAGAGCAAAAATTCTGGCCTATCTTTTTCTCCGGATGCTGGAACTCGGAAAAAGGATTTGAGTGGTAATTTCGCTATTCTTTTTTATAATCCATTGTTTATTTATGCGAACTGATATATACACATGCATGGGATATATTTAAGTAACTTCCTTATATTCCTGAAAATAGGCATTCAGCATGTACAATATTTATCTTTATTATTGTAGATAGAAAGATCAAGATGGTGTGGCCTTCTCCTTTGGCTTTATCTTTATAACATGCGAACAAAAGTCGGGTTTCAAGGAATCTCTTGTTTCATAATTATTGAGCTTACTTCCATTTCAAGTGAAAGTATTTGATGAAGAGATTTGGATGTCGATTTAACCAGAAGACGACGGCAGATTCCTCTTGAACAGTTGTCGATTGAATTTACTGGAACATTCTTATTGAAGCTGGTCAAGAGGAGTTCGCCGTCGTCTTC